ATTTTAAAATTTTAATATTTAGATATTATTATAAGTTAATTTATAATAATTATTTAATGTTTGTCTATAATTTATCATAAATATTTATTTTATTGTAAATAATATAATTATCATATATTAGCTGAAATTAGAAAAGGAAATACAGGCCAAAAATGATGAAATTTTGCAACTACAGAAAGCTCTAAGTGATATTCAGTTATCCTTATTCCAAGAAAGAGAGCATGTTCTTCAATTATATACAGAAAATGATAGATTAAAGGTAATATATATATATATATCGTATATATAAAACTTTTAGTTTGAATGTTTTTTTTTTAAATATAGTAATAAATATGAATGATATGTAATTATGATGAAACAGTATAAAAAATGATACATAGAATATATTCTTCATTCTTTATTAATCAGTGTTGTTTACTGAAAACATATTAATTACATTTATCAAACAAAATATAAAATGAAATGTAAATTGACAAATATGTTAATAATCATATGTAATCAAATACAGTTGACCCTCCCTAATTCACTTATCTTCATTCACTCAAAATTTTGGGTAGATATAGGATGGTAGATTACAGAGATATTAACAAAATGATTTTTATATTGTAATTAATTTTGATTACAGCAAGGCTTATTAATTAACATGTACACTGGATAGAGTATTAACTTCAAAATCATCTTGGATATCATTTTAATTATCATGGATACATTTAGTAAGGATGTGGCTTTACATAAAGAATTTTTAACAGATTTGATTTTAAAAAGTCAGTCATTTTTGTTTGCCATCTTTTTATGTCTTGTAATTAATTATCTTGCATGCCATTGTATGCAAGCTATGGCTATGACATACTCAGGCTTTACCATCTTTTCTGCTTCCCAAACCTTCTAATTTCATCCAGATACTCCAGCATATATCCAATGAAAGGAATTTCAGAAACAATTTCTTCATCATCAAATCCAATTTTGATAAATTAAACCATGAAGTTTTGAAAAATACCATCTGATAAAAGATATGTTGTAAAATGTCATTGTAAAAATATGCATATTTCCAAATACTGGTAAAGATTGATTTATCAAATTTAAATCATGTTAAGTTTGATATACAATTAAACAAAATTGTAACACGTGTCAAGTGTGTGTATGTTATCGAGCATTGATGTACAGTCCACAGAATTGTCTCATGTGTCAGATGGATTGATGTAATTGTATCCCTAAGAATGTGGGGTGAGATTGTCCCGCCTAGAGAGGGAGAAATTGTGCGCTTCCCTTTGGTGTGTCGGGTCAGTGCTGACCAGAAGGTGTAGCTGTGTGGCTGCTAAAGAACCAGTGTTGTGATTATAAATTAATTGTCGGGTGCCTGAGTGTTGCTCGCTTGTGGAGAAATTAAAGTTCAAATTGTGTTGTCGTGTTATAAAGAATCTGTGTACTGTTTTTAGACTGTGTAAACAGGAACATTTTACATCATTTTTTCCATATAATATTTAAACTCAATTATATGATATAAATATAATATAAATCTATAATATATGAAATGTAGAAAATATTACTTTTTGACCAGATACATATTTTTTTGTGAACTCTCTTTCTCTCCCTGTGGGTACTAAGCCTTCTTTTTGGCAAGCCCATCATGGATTCAGCCATGTCTACAGTGAGATGGCTGGATAGTGAGTGAGGGACAATGACTGAGATATCTAGACAGGCCATTCCTGAAAAATTCCTGGGGTTTTTGACCCATCCAAATTTGATCTGGGTTCCCAGAGTGGTAAATTGCCACTGTAATCACTTGTCCATTTGGCTGTCTTTGACCAGATATTAGATTATACAGTATTATACAATTAAAAAATGTTGTTATAATTAATTATAATTAATAAATTGTTTACTGGTATAAATAAAATTGTCTGTATAATTTAGACTGGTGATTTATTGTCAAACATTATATAATTACTTAAATAAATATTTTTCAATTTCAGTTATTATAAAAGTTATAAATAGCACTACTTCATATTTAATTTTTCCTTTATTTTGTGCATAAAATTTCAAAGGTACGTGAATTAGAAGATCATAAAAGAATTCAGTACCTATTACAAATTTGTGAACAGATTCCTGACAGTTATAAAAGTTCTTATGTAAATTTAAAAGAAATTAAGAAGTTTTATATTGATGAACCAGAAACTCATCCTCATCCTGAGCCAATCACATCATGGACAAAGAAGAAAACTGTTGCAGAAAGTGAGTAAGCAAACTAAATTTTTATAGTAAAAATAGTGTGTTTTGTTGTAAACTATTACTTGTATGTTATATATTATACAATATCTTTAGATTATTAGTTATGTATCTATGTATATATACACATTGAAAGAATTATCAATGTTTTTAAAAGTTTATGTTTATTAGGAGATTTGCCAACTGTTCCCTCCAAATTCAAAGAGCAGAAATTAAATCATTACGAGAGCATGAAATATGAGGTACTTTATTGTTTTATTATAATTAATTTTTTATCAAAAGTTTTAATTAAAAAAAAATAAATAAAATTTAGGTAATATCAGTAAAACTCATAACATAAAAACATGATAATTTAAATTCTGTTCAGTTATAATGTTTGAATGAAAATTTATGTTATTATATACAGCACGCACACTATACATCAAATGAATGAAATTCTTTTTGTCAGTTCTTTGGGAAAAATCTATAAAACATTTTTAAGGTATATTTTAACATTTGTATTAACAAATGTATTTTCTTGTAAATTAGTTTGTTACTGAATTTCAATTATATAGATTTTTATTTTTAGATTTAAATTAAGAGAAATTTTCATATCAATCACTAATTGATAAAAGCAACAAATTATAAAATATATTTTTAGCAAAAGAGTGATTTCTGAAATGGTGCATGGATATAAATAGCAAATCTGGTAATAATTTTGTTTGAATTTTTTTGTAATAAAAAAAAGAATGTTAGTTTTTTTTATAAAATATATAAAACTATCAGTATTTAATGATGTATGTACCATCTTTTTCTATAACTTTTTACCATCTTTTGAATAATTTTATAAATTCCATTACTATAATAGATTGTTGAATAAGTTGCATGCATGAATTTTGGCATATTTAATTAGGATAATTTTGTAAGAATCAAAACAAATAAAGATATAAAAGTGCAGGATCTAGTAAATATGCTAATGTCCAACTAAACTGCTGTAATTTTTGTTATATAAATATCTATTCTATCATTGTCTTGGCAAAAATGGTTTATTTTCTGTTTGAATAGAATCAATTGAATTTATGCAAATAACACATTTATCTACAGTCTGACAAATTAATTATATAAACAACATCTGAGGATAATGCTCAAAAAATATGCAATTCAGTAATTCAAAAAATATGTGAAATATGAATTTTTGATAATTTGGATAAGATGTAGAATTGAACCTTACAACTTCACTTGATCATTTCATTATCATCAACCAATATAAATTTGGCATAAACCAAAAATTTTGCTTCTAGAAAGAATAGAAAGTATACTTGAATACTTTCTATTCTTTCTAGAAGCAAAATTTTTGGTTTATGCCAAATTTATATTGGTTGATGATAATGAAATGATCAAGTGAAGTTGTAAGGTTCAATCAGCATATCTGCTTGTATTTTGATATTCATATTTTTTAAGGTAGCATAAAAAATATTTTTATGATAACTCATTAGCAAAAGTGTATAATTTTTAAACTTACTGTGTATATATAGAACAAAAGAATATCAACATTTTAATTTCTAAGCTAATAATTTTGATTTTCTGTAGGAATTTCAAGATTTGGCTTAATATTCAGGAAGAATATTTATCAAAAATGATGAATGTAATATAGGAAATAATTCTATTTACAGTTATAATAGCATCTGTTAACCGTAATTACTTTGGAACTTTCCTATACTGAGAACAATAATAACTAACTGATAACATTAAGTGGAGTAAATGAATAAAACTACACTTAATGGAAATTCTGACATTAAAAAGATAGGTTAAAAAAAGAATTTAAAAAATATATATACATATTTGAAGATTTATTAATTATTATTAGTATAATTATAATTAATGAATTAATAGTAATTCATCCAAGTTCGTTTGCCTGCTGTTTTTTTGCAATACCATATTTAACAGCTAGTATATAATTGAAAAAAAAGCAGAAATTTAAACTACTGATGTACTGTGAACAAAAAATAATGAAAATATTACACGTTCAACATTTAAAGTATTAGTTATGACTGATACTTTAAATATTGAACATGTTATGTTAGTTATGAATGATACAGCTGATAATATATAATCATTATTATTTATCTTTAGACTGATAATGCAAAAAGACATTTAAAAAAATGTCTATTCACTTTAAGATAATGATAATCTGATTCCAATAAGCAAGTTTTATAAGTGTTTTGGGACTTACTAATAATGATTATATTAACCACTTATAATACTGTCTTTGATTACAATAAGTAGATTCTTCTGTATATATGTATTTTATGTAACTCAAATATTATTTAAATTTTATCTCTAAACCTTAAAGCATATGCTGATTTGATGAATTTTCTTCAAATTATGAGTTGCTAGTCTAAAACAATAATTATGTTACAGTATAAATTATAAACTGTAATGATTTATAACTTTTCATATTTTCTTTTGGTGTGGTTTTTAAAAATAAAAGTGAAAATTATGATAACAAATAATCAAATAGCAAGAAATTAAAATGTCACCTCTTAATATCAGGAAAGACATTTTTGCACAGATTATTTTTAAATAAAATAATAATTTGTATCGAAATATAGAGAACTAGCATTTTATTGACTAGTTTCACAGAATTTTTGAAAGAATGTGTCTTTGTTGTATATCTTTAATTAATGAATATTTTTGGATCTAAAATAAATTATGAAGAATAGATATATAATTTTTGACTTTTAAGATCCAATCATCTATAATTTAATGCCATTAGGATATCTTTAATCCTAATTAATATAACAACATACTCCATGGAGCTATTACTCAATAAAAGAGGTTTAAACATAGTCAAATTCTGATTTAGTGTCATTAATTGTTTGTCTCTGAAACTGACACTAAATTGAGTACGGTGCTAAATTGAAAGACTGCAAACATTAAGATTTATATGTAATAATGAGCTCTACACACAAATTTTAATTTAATTAATAGACACAAAGTCTATAAGCCACATGCATAATTTGTTGTCATTTACAATACAAAATTGAGCTGAAGAATTCTCTTTTTAATATATATGGAGATGATTGTGTTTGCAAATATTCATTGGTACTTTGAAGGCAGTGCTACTTAGGAGAATACTATATCAAGATTTGACTGTACTTTTTGAATTATATGTTTTAATACCATTTTTTAACAAAATTTATTTGATTATACTTATTTATACTTACAAATTACATTATTAATTTCATTTTCATTCAGATTGAAGCTCTTCGAGTACAATTAGAAGAAAGAGAAGCTCTTTTTCATGAACAAGTAGATGCACTAACAAATGATTGTAATATTATAAAACAAGAAGCAGAAGTTCAAAGATTGAGAGATTCTGAACATATTAAATATCTTACTGATAGGTCTGTGGTTTGTATTGTATTATGTTGTTATATATTTTTTTTTTAATTAATAATAATTTTGAAATATAGATTGAAACAAACAACCGAATTATTACAATTAACGACACGTGATTACGTCAACTTCAGGAAGTCAGTTTGGAATACTGAGACAGATTGGTCCCTTGAGAGAGCACAGTTAATTGATGAAATTAATAATATTAAAATAAATATTAAAAAACAAAGAGAAAAAGCTTCTCTTATGGAAGAATTGTCAGCTGTAAAACATGAATTACAAGGACATAATCAACAAACTTATTTATTAGATGAAATTAACAAATTAAAAGAAATTCTAAATCAGTTTACAATTCCTCTTCCTGAAGAAATGAAAATTATTAAAGAACAGCTTATAAAGTGTATTGAACAGGTAGAATTACAAAAGGAACTCTGTAATAATAGTTTGGATCTCAGTAATAAAACACTTAGTCTTTGTAAAAAGCATATACTTCAAAAATATTGTGAACAATTAAAAAATAATTTGACATCATTAATAGAACAAATTAATGATATTAGTGAGGGAGCAAAAACTGTTAATAGGAAAAATTCTGAACAAGAGATTAAAATGCTTAAGCTTCAGAATGACCAAAAAGAAAGTTTGGTATCTATTAAAGAATATTTAAATAATATTTCAAAAGCATTTACTTCCTTAGAACAGGATAGCCAAGAAAACAGTGATATACAAATAAAAAAATCTTCATTGGATACTATAAAAAGACAGGTAAGCAATATAAATCATTTTATNAAAATATTAAATAAAATGCACATAAAAAGAGTAATAAAATTAAAAAAAAAATCGATATATAGTAGAATCTAGAGGTTTTTTTAGTAGTAAAAAACAAGGGTAGAAGTCGTTTGGGTAAATATTTAGTTTCGAACTTTAAATACATAATGGAGGGAAATACGAAATGACAGAAGAAAAATAATTGCATTTATATATTTTAAAAGTAATATGGCAACATTTGATTATGATTTTAGGTATTGTAATTATTCGTTTTTTTGAAACTGTTGTTTAACACGTGTACTATTAAATGAAATTGAAATAATATTTGCACGTGTAACGTGATATATAATTTCCTTCCTATAAATTATAAACATGTAATAAATTTATTACCTTTTCTTATTATTATTAATAATAATGATAATGAAAATCAGAATAAATGAATATAAATTTTATTTAAAAGTATTTTTGTTATTTGTTTCTGTTATTATTACAATATTTAAACTTTTAATATTTTATACATAATAATAAAGTGCTTTTAGACTACTAAAAATAACATAATGCTAAATTACTTCATTAATAATTATTAAGTAATTATACATCAAAATTTTTATTTATAGGAACTCGGATTTCAACTTCAATAGCAAATCTTCACCAAAAAGATTTGATATAACTCAAACTTTAAATACTCCTTCTGTCAGCGAACAGTTAGCTGAACTTCAACCAAGCAAAGAATTGCTTACCTATTATCATGAAAAGATTTCAAAATTTGAAGATGAATGGAATGAAATTATTAAAAGATTAGATCAACATAATAAACTGTATGAAAATGAGGTATTTAATGATATTTAATTTTAATAATTTAGTAATATTTTAATGGTTATACTAGTTATTACTTAAAGAATATATATTTTACATAAATTATTTGTGATTTTTTTAATAATTGCATTTTTAAGTCAATTTTGATCATAATTTTTCTGCACTATACTTAGTCATATTGCTTTAGCAAGAAACAATATACAGTACAATGTTTATAATAATGATAAATATGCTACACATTTATTATGGCAAAATAAACACAAATATTTAATACAGTAGGACCTAACTACAGTGGTACCTCAGGTTACGAACGCCCCAGCATACGAAATTTTCAGGATACGACATGAAATTCGAACATATTTTTGCTCCACGATACGAACAAAAACTTACCATACGACGTTACATTAGTTCGCATTTTTCATTTGTTTTTCTTACTACAGTTATTTTTTNTACACTAACAACAAGTAAAATCTTTAAAATCATTAAGTTCAATCTCTCTTGAGATATGATACATTACCTCCTCCTCCCTTCATCTCTTTTAACCTCAAAATTTTAATAGCATCATTGCCTGTTATATATAAATTACCATGCCAAATTTTGTTTCTTAATCCTGAGTATCAAATGAAATACACCAATACATACACACATATCCATAGAATTTTTTCCCTGTTTTTTGACATTTTTGTGTCCTGGGATATCAAAATGTGGTAATTTGCAAAAAACTGTAGGGTTACATTTGATATGATTCCAATACTTTCCCTTATTTTGTATACATAACAGCTGAAAAAGTAAAAACAGAATCAGAACAGAAACAGAGAAGAAGACATTCTCAAACAAATATTTTCAGCTTTAGGAAGTTATGTGAAGAAACTTCAAACTACTGAAATCTGATAGTCTAAATAAATGCCAAAACTGAAATCAAACATATTGATTTTGAAATTGCATTTCATTTCTTGTCTCTGAGCTTGGAGTTTGTTCTTTAAGTAATTGACTATTTCCTAATGCAGGCATGGCCAACATATGGCCATGCCTGCATCTAATGAATTTATGCAGCCCGCGATTAATCTTTCAACATTAGCTACTGAAGTCTGAATAGCTTGATGAAAAATTCTGACACCTAAAAAAAAGAAAAAAAAGTCAACAACTCACTGTGCATTTAGAATTAACGCTCTATTACAAATCTCCTAAGTACAGTGTAGAATGTTGATAAAGCATGATAATATGAAAAATGTATCTGCAATCTGTATGTACAATTTAGTCTCTACGGGGTGACACCACAATGAGATCTCACACCACCTCAAAATCTTCCTAGGGCATCCTGTGGTTCGGCCCATGAAAAAAGTTTTCTTTCCAACTCGGCCTGGGGGCAAAAACTGTTGGCCACCCCTGTCCTAATGTATAAATAGAATGTACACACTTATTTATTATCAGACATAGAGGTTTCATTATATTTGTTTAAATTTAATTTTAGAAATGTCTATGCTTATATTATCAGCTGTATTTTTTAAATCTAAAAATTAGGTTTTGTGTTTTTTATCCAGTAATTTATAAATAGTCAAATAGAAATTTAAATAGTTTCAACTATCTAAATGAATATTATTCTAAAACTGTCTTAATTTTCTATTTGAATATGTTGTAACATGAGGAAGCCATATGTAATAAATGTAAAAGTAGTTGTTTAACTGATTTTATGTACTTTTTTCAGGATTAAATTAATATTGCTATTATTGTTTTTTTTTAGTTTATCATTTATTTACATAATGTGATTTCAATTATATGTTAACAGTTTCCTTTTATTTTTTTCCTAATTTGTTTCTTGTTTAATTAGTTAATATAATATGTATTATAGCATTAAAATAGCCTTACATATTACACTGACACAAGGACACATACAGTTCACTTTAAATTTTAATTTATAACAAAATTATAACTGTGAACAGTTATCATTTAACTATTTCAATATAAGATTTTTTGAGGATTTTCAAAATATAGTAGAATCTGCTTGCTCTAATCACTTTGGAACATGCCTGTATTGGTGGTGATAACTGAATAATAATTTTACAACAGCATGTAAGTGAAACCACAATTAGTAGAAACAGGTTATATTAACTCTGAAATAATTAAAGGTATAACAAGAAGATTTATTAATTATGATTTTTAATTAATAGTAATTCATTCAGCAAATAACTGAAATAAGAAATGTCAGAAATTTAAACTATTCTACTTTGAGCAAATAACAATTAAAATAATTAATGTCTAACATTTTAAAATTTTAGTTAAGACTGATACAGACACAGTAAAACCTCACTTATGTGGCTACCACTAAAATTCTCCTTTAAAACTGCATAAGTATGAATATGAATATATATTAATATATCTATAATATTAATGTAATAATAATAGTATCCGTGTAATGCCACTTCACTTAAGTGGCCAAGATAGGAGCATCCGAAAGTGACATTTATTCTTGTTTGTGTTCAATAAAACAAGAAAATCCTAAATTCCTAATTTAACATATTGTTTAAAGTGCTTTAAACAAATTGAGATTTGTTGCTATAGTTCTGGAACAGTTTGCTTTAATCCCTCCAATAGATGATGATCAAATAAAATAATTCTTCGCTTATATTCAAAAAATTAAATTTAACTCTAGAATTTAGTAAGAATAAAGACAATTATATATTTGTTCAATGTTTTTAGACAAAATCTTATTTGTATTTTGCAAAAGTACAACTATGGAAATCATCAATGATCTGTCTACATCACCGATACATCATTTGCAATAGTCATTGAAGAAAAGTATAAATGTCTGATGTAAATGCTGGTTTAATTATTAACATTTTTTTCTGACACTTGAATGCTTTTGCATATGTAGTGGCTTCTATTTAATAATTTTTTTCTATGAATTTTCCTGTAAAAAAAATGAGTATAATATTTACTTTACTTATATTTCATAAACATTCTGTTGTGATATTGATCGTGTCTATGGGTACTAAATATATAAACTGTATTTTGATACTCTATTTAGTGTTAATACATTATCCTGTATAAAAGTTTGAATTACTTATATATTGCAAAACATGTATAGTATTCTTATTTATTTATTTTTTACTTTTATAATCTGTATTGAACTTTTAGCAGGATTCAGTATGATACTTCTGTGTGTCAATTTTTTCATAATCCCACCTCACTTATGTGGCCAGAAATTGTATATCGAAAGATGGTCACATAAACGTTTTGCTATACCTGAATACTGTTGAAATTGCATATTATCACATGTTCAGCTTAAAAATTCCTCTTTACTCAAAGATAATAACTATAACCAAAATTCTGATTACAATAATCAAAATTTTATAAGTATATTTTAACTATATGTTTTGGATTTGAATTTCTAATAACAATATCTGTGTGATCACAATAAGCAAATTCTATTGTATATTTAAAAACTTCAAATTTAAATTTATTTTGCAAAATTAACAGATTAAAACAAATTGAATTTGTATATTTTTTTTATACGAAATAGTTCCCAAGTCTAAGTCTTGTATTTAACTTGCATCTTAATAACGTTTTTAAGGTTAATTTAAAAAATTATGTTACAATCAAATAACATCTAGTTGATAATAAGTTCCTTTTGTTAAATAGTAAATTAAAAGTGTGTAATGTACTATTGTCCATTTAGTTAAATTCATATTCTTTTAAAGTTTACTATTGTGTACTGTTTAAATAAGTTTTTAAAAGTGGGATTAAATTGAAAGGAAAAAATAATGTAACTAAATAAAATTGATTTTTTAAGACTTTAAATCAAGACTTCAATGAATTATTCAAAATATCTGAAGAATATAAATCTGAAAATATTTTTCTCAAAAAAGAATTAGAGAGATTAAAAGAAATGCATATGTCAGCTTTGCAGTTTTACAAAGTAAGTAAATTATCTTATCTGATATCATTCAGATCTTAATCTTTTTCCTTCATTTTTTATTGGATAATTCATATGATTTTATACTTGAATAATGTAACTAGCTTGAGAATAACTCGATTAATGAAAACCATCTTTTTTTTTTTTTTTTTTTATGGTTTTAAAAGAGCTTCCAAAAGATAAAATTATATTGCTTCTTACCCTACTTCATAGGAGACTGTGCAACTGTTATCATGAAATATTACATATTGGTATACCTCTTATCTATATGCAGAATTGCTCCAAACCATGCAAACATAAACTCTGAACTTTTTAAAATGACAATAAAAAATTAAAAATGACACCACTAATAAAATACAATTGATTAATATAAAAGAAATAGTCATATTCACACTTTTTAAGTAAACCATGAGTTACATATACAGAATAGAGGAAAATAATAATAAATTAACTAAATACAGTGGAACCTCGCTTAACAAGCACCTCGTATAACGAGCAAAAAAAATTGTAAAAAAAATGACTCGCTTAATAAGCAATATTTTGCATAACAAGTGATGAGGGGAAGGGAAGTCCCAGATTGTGCGCATGCTACATCATTCTCTGTTTTGCACTTGTTCCGCTTGCATCTTAGTGTAGCTTGTGATCACTCATTTTTCAAAACTTGTGTTCACATATATTACGTGTAAACATCAATAACCATAGCCTGTTATATAATAAACATGCCAAACGATATGCCAGATTTTTGGGCTATGTAAAAGCTATAATTAAAGATTAAAAATTAATTAATTTGACTAAAGGTAAGCAGTTTTGTTTCCATCTCGTATTAAATTTAATAACCAATTCCAAATTAAATTCCAGAAATGTCTAAATTTAAAATTAATTATTTATAATTATTAAATTTAATAAGAAATGACAGCATAACTGCCTACCTCTAGTCAAATTAATTAATTTATAATATTTAATTATAGCCTTTATATAGCCCAAGAATTTGGCATATATTTGGCATATTTATCAGACATATTATCTGTGATTTTTATTTTTGTTTTCTGCAAATTGAATTCACATTCCAGGTTGGTTCATTCCATGCTACAAGAGCAGATGAAGATGATTCACACGCCTTAACAATGTGTATTGTATAATTTTCTTTGAATAAATGTTATATATAAAATATTTGAGTTTTTTTTGGCATGGAATGCATTATTGTATTTTACATTAATTTACATGGAAAAAATTGTTTTACTTAATGAGTGTTTTGCATTACGAGTAAGATTCCAGAACAAATTATGCTCATTAAGTGAGGTTCCACTGTTAATTTGTTAATTAACAAACTTTACTTTGCTTGCCTTTTGTTTTACAAACTGATTTATTAGCATTTCAATGTCTGACTCTTCCAGTAACTCTGATTCTATTAAAATCATTGTGACCTGTGCCTATTCAGGCTCTTGGTGCCATCATGCACTGTACGTCTCATTCTTATGGATGTTGTGGCCTCTCTATATGTTCTTTTGAATTATTGATTTATTTTTTTATTTTTTTGTAGTTATAGCCTTACTTTGCTTGATTAATAAACTTGTTAATTCTCTATGAAATAAATTTTAAAATAATTAAAATATTATTTTATAATAGATTTTATATTTTGAATTTTACATTGGTAATTATAATTATTTATTTATTATTAATAAAAATAGGAAAAATGTAGTAAACTAGAGGAACAGTTAGAACTGAAGAAATCTAATTATCAACAACTTACACGGAATCACAGACTAGATATTGAAGGCTTCAAAAATGATATTAAAATTCTAAAGACAAAGCTTGTTAATATTGAGAAACAACTACTAAAGGTATTGATAAATACTTATTTTTTTACTTTATTTTTTTTGGTAACAATGTTTTAGATATTTCATAAAAATATATTTCTATTTGTTTACATGAATACTTTATAAGCAGATTTTTTAAATTGCTTTTAACATATTTAACACTTATTTAAATATAGTATTTAGAATTAAATATTGAAATAACTTTAAACATAATTTTAGCATACAAAATAATAATCATATGCAATAATCAATATATATTATAATTTCTTTAAAATGGTGCTGAAATACCTTTCCAAAAAATTCTAGAATCACTGTTATTAAAATCTTGTTTTTATTTCTTTTGTAAGATGAATTGGAAAGAGAATGTAATTTTTTAAGTTTACATTATTATACCATAAGTACCGATTTCTAATGCTACATTAGAAATCTTTTTAGATATCCATTGATATTTAATTTATAAAAAATTTCACAAAGGAGAGGGAATTGCATGCAAGATAGAAAATTATTTCATAGTCATATCAAACCAACTGTACTCTCTCTATTTGAAATTCTGATATCATTCCAATAGCAGTCATTATTTTAATTTCTGGTTTCTGCAAAAGGAACATTCTAGCTTTTTTGGAAAAGAAAACTAAATTACCAGATAAAACAGGGTGTCTCTTTGTTTTCTGTTTCTGTATTTAAAGTAACCAATTTAGTACAATTTCATTGAGTTCTCCAGGATTTAAGGAAAATTCCCAAACTTTTCAGGAATTGGGAATGATTTCTTGAAATTTCCAAATTTTTCCAGGATTCTAGGACATGGGAATCCTGCAAAAAGTTCTTAATTGCAAGTTAAAATTGACAGATAATCCATGCCATTTGTAACTTGTATCCAGTTTTAAACACAACCTGTAGGTTATTGCATAAAATAATAGTTCTTGCCTACTTGAATATATATATATATATTAGTAAGTCATAAGAAATTTGATACAAAACTTTATGCTTTCATGTAACTTCTGTGTTAATATATTACATAATCTGTCAGAAAATTGAGTATAAAAATTACAAAATAATTTTGCATATAATTAAATTTCTTTCAGAATTTTTGAACAAAAAAAAAGATGCTCCAAACCATGCAAACNTTATAAATATTTAGACACATATTCTGTATATTAAGTTTAATCTTGAAACAATTTCTCTTGTTTGTAAGGTTAAATATAAATAATTATTTTATTTTAAACTCAAAACTTGATTATTATTTGTAGACTATTTTCTGTTAAAAAATGTCTGATTAACCAAATACATTCATATAAAATATAATGGATTACAGATCAGTAATCTGGTTTTGTCGCTTATTTTGTCTAGTGTAATTTCAAATTTCCTGTGTTGCCACACAAACCTGCTGCTAATATTTGGGGGGGTTCTCAATGTTGCTAGATTATGATAATTTGATAAGAATTTTCATTTAATGTTTTTTCTATTCTTTATAAACCAACTGATCTACAGGATATTTTAAAAGTAAAATTAAGATGGTTAGCTGTTGGGTTCTAATCTAACCATCTGATTGATATTTAGCACCTTACAAGTCCCAATGATGCTAGATTAATAATGGTCAACCTGTATTAAATGAAATAAAATCAAAATTTTTGCATCTTTTTACATTGAATATTAAATATAAAATTTAATTTTTAAAGGAAATTAAATCATATTAATAATTAATGAATTAATTGACAGTTATTTGAAAGACTAGTATAATTATAAGAATTTATTTTTACTGTTATTTGTATTTTTTAGACAATAATTCAAGTTGAAAGCAATCAAAATGATATGAATCTTCTAAAAGACGTGCACTCTTCCACGGTTCGTTCAGTACAGATAGCGGACAATCTCAAAGGATTGAAACGTAAACTTTACGCATTAGAGAATGAATTGAAAAAAATATAATTTCAAATGTTTAGAATACAATTAATAGATTTTTTAAAAATACAAGATGGCAAATAATTTTGTAAAATGATAATTCTGAATTTAGATATTTATGTAGATCATTATATATTTGAAAAAAAATGCAAATATTGAATAATAAAATATTTAATACATACTGTTTAAATTATTAATTGTTTTTAATGTTTATTGTTAAAATTATATTAAAAAATCAGATTTATTTTTTAAAATAAGCACAATGTATGAATATTTATTATTATTATTATTTTTTTTTTTAAGATTGATGTGTATAGACATTCACTTAAAGATAATGAAACTTTATCTTACTTCATTAGAATACCTTTCATCAATGGAGCATATTTATTCATTATACGAGGGGAGTCCAATATTAAAGGTACAGGCCAAAATTACACTAACATTTATAATTAAAGAAAATATTTAATACATTCCACAAAAACTACATACTTTTGTTTATTTCTTGACATAATTGCTGTAAACGTTGAGACATTTATCCCAGCGTGACAATAGTTTGAACATCTCTTCACATTACTGTTGCTTGAAGTAGTCCAGAACGATGTCTTCCAATTCCTTCTGATCAGCAAAGCATTTCCCCTGTCAAAAATTTCTTTAAAGGTCCGAATAAATGAAAATTGTGGTTGGCACAGTGAGATTGGGAGGTCCTGAAACATCCTCTGTAATCTCGCTGTGCCAACCACAGTTTGGTTTGATTTGATGTGCGGAGTATAGTCCAGATTTAGCCACCTCGAATTTTCATTTATTTGGACTTTTAAAGACATTTTTGATGGGGAAACGCTTTGCTGATCAGGAGGAATTGGAAGACACCATTCTGGACTACTTCAAGCAACAGCACTGTGAAGAGATGTTCAAACTACTGTCATGCTGGGATAAATGTCTCAATGTTTACGGCAATTATGTCAAGAAATAAACAAAAGTATATATTTTTGTGGAATGTATTAAATATTTTCTTTAATTATAAATGTTAGTGTAACTTTGACCTGTACCTTTTTAATATTGGACTCTCCTTGTAGAATCTGACCATAAGGTATCAACTTGAAACTGCACTATCACAAATGGCATCCTGAGCATGCACAATTGTCTGGTGCCATCTTTGTGGTTTGTTTGTTTTATTTGTGTTTATGAGCATTTCAGCTGGAGTTTTCACATTGTTTATTTGTTGCAAACATCGCTATGTGGATTGTTACATAATTGGGTGCAATGCTAGGTCATTCACGAACAAAGGAACATCGTTTTTCAAAATTCCTGGCATTATTTGTCATCAAGGACCCTAAATTGAGGAGCTTTCACAACAAAGACAGGCTGCAGGGCTGTCAAGAATTAACCAGAAAAATTTCAATACAGATAAACTGAATGTCAATACACGAGTTTGTCAAAAATATTTCATTTCAGGTAAGTAATAAATCAGATTACTAGTTACTACCAATAAATGATCATGATACTCATGCAAAAGTTTATCTAAAGTGTGCACAAGCCAATTGCATAAATACTTTTATTAATACCGACAAAATAAAGTTCAATAATTTAGCAACTGTAGATTTTAGTTTGCATAGATAACGATTGTGTTCTAACTTAATTTTTCACCTTTCAATTTGTTTTCTTTGTGTCTGCTTGTAGTAAATATGCAGTAGAGTTAAGCAAAGATAATTGATTAGAAGATGAATTAGAAATGCATTTTGAACCAATTGTCCTTGCAGCCTAATTTACAGCATGTGTATTTTTTACGATAAATCAATAATTTTCATTGTTCAATTACAAATAGCCAATTAGGTTATTTTGGTGAGCAACATTTCTTTAAGATACAGACATCATTGTAAAAAGTAGCATCTCAGAAACTTCTGAATTTCAAGGTCACCAAAAAGTCTGTGTGTTCTATAAACTTCATTATTAGTCACATCATCTATATTCAGTAGTTTTTCTCAAACCATTAAACACTATCAGCAAATCACAATGTATACATAACTCTTTCTTTCTTTCCTTTATTTGTTTAGATAAAATATTTCATTACACAGCCAAATTACATTATTTTTTATCATCAGAATTGATATTGAGCATGTACATGTGTGATAAACACAGTTTTGATGTATTATTAACTTTTCAGTGAGAAATTTTATTCCAAAGTTTGTTTTCATTTGTATATTTTTATTTGAGTTTTATTTACAATATTAATTGTAAACTTAAAAATCAAATAATTTTAGCTTCATCCACAAATCACTTATTTATTTTGACTGTAATAGCTAATCATGTATAAATATTTCAATTTAATGTTAATCCTTAGCCACAAATCAAATTCCTCTACTACGGATTTATAGTCTTTTATAGTAATTATATGATTTAATTAGAATGGAATTTACTAAATTCAAAGTAAAAAAACATCATTAACTTTTATTCAAATCAATAAATTAATTAAATTACATTCTCATCATAAAGAATAAGATAAAGTATTTTTCAAGATTAAAAATTTTTCAATAAACATAGAGAAAAAATCTTATAAATAAAAATTACTATTCTTATAATTAAAACAATAAATTTTTCAAAGTTTTAATATATAAATAGTACAGTAGAGCATCGATTATCCGACCCCTGATTAACCGTTACATCGATTTACCCGACCGTTCTAGTCGGCAAATTTCAAATGTCCGCTAGTGATGTGGCATTACAATATTTGGCTGTCTTGGCTACTTTAATATTATTTTTGTTAAATTTTTGCGTGTTTTAGCTGGCATCAACAGCTCTACCATTGAAGGGAGGCCAATATTTAAACGAGACTTAATTTTCTAATTATGAGTGGTGTTTGTTTTGTGAGCAATAAAATAATTTTTAATGATACAATAGCAACGATTATTATTTTTTAAAAAATTTCTTAGGCTAAACCTCGATTAAAATTCAATGCAAAGTTGGTTAATAGCGATATACTAATAAACTAATTACATGGGATATACTGTACTAATATACTGTAGTAATAATGTATTTTTTTCCTTTTTTTTTGGTTATCCAATTTTTTCAGTTATCTGACCAATCTGAGTCCCCAGTTGAGTCGGATAATCGATGCTCTACTGTACTTCTATCAGGTCAGTCCATAAGTTCGTGCGCATTTTTATCTACAAAAAAAGCAACAAAAATTTTTAATTAAATTTTATTTCAATCTATAATGTATTCACCATTATTTTGTACAATTTCTTGCCATCTTGATGGTAGCTTTTTAATCCCGTCTTTGTAAAGTGATTTCGGTTTTGAATCAAAATATTCAGAAATAGCCTTTTTTACATTGTTCTCATCCTCAAAAGTTTTTCCTTTTAAAAAATTCTGCAAACTCTGAAAAACATGATAATCACTGGGAGCAATATCTGGCAAATATGGAGGATGAGGTAAAATTTTCCAGTTGAAGCTTTTGAGTTGAGCAGTTGACGTTGTTGTCGGTTAGCTATTGACAGTTCATGTGGTATCCATTTTCCTAGCTTTGAAACTTTTCCTATTTGTTGTAGATGTCTATGAACAGTTCCATGGGATGAATTTAAACGTTCCGCAATTTCGTCAACTGTTAAAGATGGTTCTGCTTCAACTAGTACAGAGAGAGCATCATCATCAAAGTCAATGGGTCTTCCAGTATGAGCCTTATCCTCCACACTAAAATCATTATTTCTAAATCTTTCAAACCACTTCTGCGCAGTCCTTACACTAATTACAGTTTGATTATGAACAGTATTTAATTTTTTGGCTGCATTTGTAGCATTCTCATCACTTAAAAATAAGAAGTATAAAACATGTCTCTTATATTCATCTGTTATTTCCATTTTAACGAAAATAAACAACTGAAATGTTCCCAATTCTGAACAGTATTATATGAATTTAAACACTTCAGTGTAAAAAGTATCACATTAGACTGGCATTTTTAACAGCAAAACAAGATTTTTCTCAAGATCATAAAATACACATGAACTTATGGACTGACCTAATATATCTAATTACAAGAAAATTGTTTATTTAACTTTAAGAAATTGAAGGAATTAAATTTATTGGAATTTGAATTATTAATTGGATTCGTACAAAAGAAATTGACTAATAAATTTTTAGTTACATATACAACAAGAACTCCACTTGAAATTTTCATGTATAGTAAGTGCATAAGATGTCAATAAATGTACCCAGAAGTGGATTAATCAAATAAAATAACTAATTTGGCAAATAATTGTTTATAACTCTGTCAATTTGATAAAAAATCTGTTTATGCTCAATTGCAGAGCTGCATTTTCGTACATTAATAATTCCTTGATTGTCTTTAATTGTAAAATTTATATCTCTTATATTTGGATATTTTTCTAAGCTGCTTTAAAGAAGTGTTAGTAGATTTTTAATTTAATATTGCAGAGTAAATTTTTTTTGTGTGTTTAATCAAAATATGTTAAATTACAAATATTAAAGATCCTTATTAAATTTTAGTAAAATGAAGCAATTTATTAATGTTTATTTAATAAAATATGCATATTTTATATTAAATGATAGAATTTTATTTACGTAAAAAAATATATATATATTTTTAATTCTACATTTTCCATGGGCAAGAAATTATGCAAGATTAGACAATTGTCTATTATGTTCAAAATGAAAGCACATGTACTCACAAAAATAAATCTAAAGGCAATGCTTAAACAATAACTAAATTTAAAGTTCCCAAATTTAACATATGTAATATTGCTAGATAAATAAAAAAAAGCAAACTAATAAAACCAAAACTTCTCCCTAATTTACTTCATGATCAACGAACACAATTCGAAAAGTATCAGCTTCTATTTTTTTCTTTTATAATGTTCCATTATGTTTATATTTTTGTAAAAAAGAACAAAATTTAAACATAATTGAACTAAAAGATTTGAAAGACTGGCTAGGTTGTTAATATTGCATATGCAATCCAAAATAAATTTATATAATACTATGTATTATTCTAATTATCATGGACAACAATCAGGTTTCATGTTACTAAATTAACTGAGAAAATTCTAATTTATAAAAATGAGATTATTGCATCTGAATATTTTGTGATAAGAAAATAAATTAAAGAAAAAAATGTAATTCAAATTAATAATAAACAAATTTAAATACAGGACAACAAATAAACTATAAACAGTTGATTCTATTTATAGTTGACACTAAAAGTAATATAAATACTCTTAAAAAACTTTTTACAGTTGTAATGATTTGAAAAGATATTTTGCTGTGCAAATATCAATTAAAAACATGACTTGACTAAAATCTAAATTTTAATTAAAAAATTTTTATATTTCTCAGCAAATATAATAATACAATATTTACTTTCTACTAAAATTATTTATAATATATAAAAGTTTTGCTGTATAATTAATTTTTACAAGAGTTAATGTGCAGTTACATTTTGTAAATAGTCAAAAATTACATTAATGTGAAATGCAATTGAGTTATTAAAATTATCATTTATACAAAAGTGCTATTTCTAATTCTTCATAAAAAATTTTGATGTAAAAAATCAATCTTTCTTTACTATCTATTGATACAAATTTAACTAAGAAAATGTAAAACTATACATATCTATTTATAATATTTCAGTTTTATGAATATCTTCTCAATTACTTTTTACTTTGTTTCAATTTTAACTTAATTAAATGTAAAGCTGCAACCTAAAAATCAATGGCACAAAATAATAAATACATTCACACTAAAGAAACTAACACTTCCCATTCTACAATTTGTTCATTTGAATTAGCCTGTGTAAATTTTCAGTTTGGTGTTTAAGCTGTCTAAGTTCTTCTTGTATAATATCTGTGAATAATTTTCTTTTTTCCATCTATAAAAAATTAACATAGTTTTTTATTCATTCTTAATTAATAGAAATTATCGTATAAAAAAATTAGCAATAAAGTATAAACATAAAATCTGTAAATATGAGCTATAAAATAATCTAAAGAAATAACACAAGTTGAGCCATTTTATTAAGGGTTTTAATTATGCCTTAATTTTACACAAATGTTTTCCTTGCATTTGAAATTCAAGTAGAGAAATTCCAGTTTTTTGAGAAATTTCTACTTGGCCACAATAGATCACCTTCCTCACACTTTTAAGCAAACTTTCATTACAGAAAAGTTTGTTTTGTAATCAAAATTTGCTGGAAAAAGTGAAGATGATGATCTATTGTTGTTCAGTAAATTCAAGCTGACCTATTCAGTCCAAATATAATTATTTTTGTTTCTGTACTTTCTGAAATTCAACTGGCATAGACATGAAAACTATTTAATAAAATCATTTAATTCATTCCTTTGTCTAGTCATTTTGATTGCAACTATCATGATAATTGTTACAGATTTCATTGTCCATTCAACAAAAGCTATGGTAATATCTTCAATGACTTGTGAAGTGATAGGTTTGTGCCCTGAACTTGCAGATGTCCAATCTCCTTGAATTGAGTGATCATTCTCTTCAGAGCTTGTGGAGTCAATTATCATTGTCATAAATTATTAAAACAACAAAATTCCTGAAGTAAAGCCTCAGAATTATCATTGTTTGCATAAAACAATTTCACAAGAAATGAATGTTCCAGCAAGATGTTGCCCATCATAGCTGATAAGAATGACATTCAACAGTTGAGACTACTTTTATATCCAAAACTTCACTATAACATAAGTTTCTTTTGCATAAGCACATATTTTTATTGCTTGCCAGTACTAAAGTACATAGTGACAAGTATCTTTGGTACTAACCTTTTTATAAAAATGTCTTCCATGTCCTGAAATGTCACCTTACCAGGTTTGGAGCACATGTCAAAATCTTGGCAAGAAGCTTTTTAAGTTGTACTATTAATTAAACTACTAAAACTGTTTTGTGTCTGTGTGTTTTTTCTATGCAACCTCCAAATCAGGGAGATTTGTCATGGACAATTTGTATATTTCTAGTAGTACTTTTCCTATGACTAAATCTTTTGATTTTTGCATTTAAATTGCTAAATATCTCTCTAGATAACATTGAATAGTACTTTAATTACAATCACCCATCATAAATACTAAAAATATTTTTTTCTCTTAAAACTAAAATGTAATAATTTAAAGTATTTTTATTTTGGTCAAATCTCATAAAAAATACAACCATGGGAATTGAACTATTTGATAAAAGTATAATATAATTCAAATTAATCCATAACAATTTGAACTGATTAAATTAATCTGGATTAACTTAAACGTCATTATAGTTCAAATAATTCATCTAATTTAATTTAAAATTTGATTTACATTAATTAAATATATATCATAATCTTTAAATTCAGTATAAAAAGTATTTTTAATTGTTAAATCATAACTGACTTTAAAAATTCAAAAATTGTAATCCAGTTAATAGGAATTAAATTTATTAGAACAAATATTTTCAACTGTATTTAACAGCTGTTGTGAAATTTAACACAGTTGAAAATATTCGTTCTTCTAATAAATTTAATTCCTATTAACTGAATTACAGGATTTTTTAGTGTTTTTATTGTAATCTCACCCAGTTTTTATGTAACTTTCAAGAAATTAGTACTTTGTAGCGATTTGAATAATCTTTTCAAGTTGTTTTTATGATTATTAAGCAGAATTGTAACAAGTTCTGTTTATTAAAATTTTATTTACCAAAAGTTCTAATGTGTAAAATTTGATGAATCCATACTAATCAAATAAAACAATATGTATTACATTAATTCTCTATACAGATGATTAAAACACTATTATATCATGTGAGCAATGGTTCTAAACCTTTACAAGCTAACGGCCTCAACCTACAACTTTTGGTGGTTACAAAATTGAAACACAATAGCCAGTGTCATTGGTATAGTGGAGCAAATGTAGCAGGACTGCTTGAATATCCTCCATGCCACAAATGGAGCACATGTCAAAATCTTGGCAAGAAGCTTTTTAAGTTGTACTATTAATTAAACTACTAAAACTGTTTTGTGTCTGTGTGTTTTTTCTATGCAACCTCCAAATCAGGGAGATTTGTCATGGACAATTTGTATATTTCTAGTAGTACTTTTCCTATGACTAAATCTTTTGATTTTTGCTTAAATAATAAACAGATGGCAAATATGTGCACATATACAGTGGTGATATTCAGCGGGTTCGTACAGATTCGGCCGAACCCGTTGTTAACATTTTCAAAGTTTTCTGAACCTTGTTAAACACACGTAATATTTCTCAGTGGTTTTTTGTTTCTTTTAAAAAATATATTAAAATATATGTATTATACTCTGTAACACTACTAAACTAGAGCCTTATACCCCGTTCGCCTTGGTGCGACTTTCCCAATCGCGATTGAACCTCATTTCAGTCGAGATTGAAACGAGATTCAATCGTGATCAACTCAAAACAGTTCTTGAAACTAGATCCAGTCATAAGAGAAATCCCACAATCTCTCGAGCGCAAGAAAATACAAGATGGCTGTGGAACACTTGTTGGGCTATCGACAGCGAAATAAAGTTATTGTATTTCGAGAGACGATGACATCTGTCTATTATTAGATATATTGCAAGAAAAAGTATTGTATTTATTTCTAACCAAAACTTCCATTTAAACTGTTGGTGTTCGTGACTTACCGTGTAGTTATGTCAGTTTTATCATCGCGTGTAATATATATCTTTTTTATTTATATGGGTATGTTAAAACCAGTTTTTGCTCTAATGTTGCTAATGCACCATTTGAGCGAAAAAAAATTGTTAAGGAAAAATTTTCTGTTAGCAAACCCTTTGTTAAATATTTCGAATATCACCACTGCATATATATGTATGTATTGCTGTCTGTTTATTATTATTGTTGTTATTATTATTATTAAAAGAAAGATATTTCTAAATACAAAGTATATTTAGAAATATCTTTAGAACAGTAAATAGAAAATATATAATAATCAGGAATTTTCTTTGCTCTAAAGAATGTGTAGATAACATCATTTTTAATGTTGTAAATAAAATACTGTACATAAACTTACTGCAGTCTTCATTTCTTTCTTTAATTTTTCCCTCATTTCAGAAAAATCAATTGGATTTCCTATGAGAACTGTAACAACCTATTAATGAAATAATTATTTTAGGAAATTTTATTTTGTAAACTTATAATTAAATTATAATTATAAAAGCATAAATTTTAGCGTTTAAGCTTAAATTTACATTCAGTCATAAACAGAAAAATCAAAGTTTAGCTACTTTCCCATTTTCATAAGTTTAAAGTGCATATCTGTTGGAATAGCTGTTGTTAGTAACTCACTTATTGTTTAGCATATTTCACTTTCATAGTTTTTAGAACAAAGGATAAACAGAGAAAAATATTTCTTTTCATGTTACAAATTTATTTCATTTCATCTGAATTAGAAGAAAAGGAGACCTTAAAAGAAGTCCTCTTTCTCTACGGATAGTTCTACTCCTGTCTCTCTTTCATATTAAGTAGTTATAAGTCTTCCTACTAACAGCCACTTGACATTAACTTATACACTTAGCTATTCGTGGCGGCACTGAATCATTGGTGTTCGCTACTCAGGTTTTCTTTTAGACCCTTTGGAGGACTACGGCCTTGCAGCCTAAAAACTGCACACTAACATCAAACATAGAGGGTACTGTAGCTATACATATGCCGTTCAGAGGGATCCTACCTTTCTCTACTATCTATCTCCTCTCCCTCCTTCTTTCCCTTACCCTCTTTTCCACTGGCTAAACACCTCATGTACAGCCAAAGTCTTTCTTGTATGTATTTATGTATGTATGTCTCTCATTCATCTTTTGTAGACTTCTCAAACTTTTCTTAATCAAGAGAACCTCATACAATCACAAAACTGCTTGTCAAGAGATCATATTTTAAAGATAATAACTAAAAGGTACACAGATAAGTATTACTACAGGATAAACTGTTGAATATATTGAATAACTTGGTGGAAAAACAGATTCAATATCAGATATTAAACTAAGCAAGGAATTTAATAATTAGGAATTTTCTTAGTTTTACATATCTTAACTATGTGTTATGGAAATATTATATAACAGAAACAAGACAATCTCTTTCACCTTTCCACTTTAGGAAAAGGAAGATAACTCTTCATCGCAACAAATTTTTATAAACTATGATAAAACTGATAACTTACTATGAAAAAAAGAAGAGAAATTATGTGGGCAATAGGGACAAATATACATTTAAATCGACAAAATGATCATAAATAAGTGATAGATTTCTTCACATACAGAGTATATAAAAACAACTAAAGAAGTTAGCAAAGAAGAATTGTAAAGAAAAGATAAAAACAAAGGAAAAGGACCAAGATATTAGACTTCTTATTCTAAACTAAAAAAAAAAAATGACCAATAATGGATCCTTCAGTCATGACTGGCCATTAAAATTTTTAAAATTTTCAATAATTTCTGAATTAGCTACCAATGAAGTCAAACTGAAATTATGTAAGTTGACAAAAATGAATTTGGACCAAAACATCTACTTCTATAAGTAATCTTAAAAAATTTATACTTATATAAATACATGCATATTGTTGATTCTATTTATAAGTTATTTACATTAATTAGTCCCAATAGTTAATCAATCTTTATCATTTAATCATTAAAGAATTTATCACTCCCTATCTCATTATCTTCATATTCTGAAATATTTTAAACAATATCTCAGGTGATAGTAAAAAATTATATTCAAGATATCAAATATCATTTATCTTGTCTTCATCTTTCTAAAATATATTTATAAACACTACTGAGAGAATTTAAAAATTCTCTTCAAATCAATCTTACAGATGATTTCCAAAAAACGTTTCTTAAATTTCCTAATAAGAAATTTAAATTAAGAATTCAGAATATTATAGAAGACTCTAACATCATTTTTTACATATTCTTTTCCTGTCTTGTGACAGAACTGTAAATAATCATTCTCCACTACATAACTTGCTGACTAATTCTGTTGATATGTTTAACAAGAATAAATCATAAGGATGAAAATTCTAATATGAAACTATCTGGAAAATATTTAAAGATACAGAATAAATTCCATGATAGATAGATATTTAATTGAGAAATTCTAACTTTCTTGGTGAAAAACATTTAGTGATAATTACGGGATTAATTAATTAAAAAACTACTCTTAGCAAACCTTAATTAAATGAAGTGTTGTAAGTAGAGTTGTAATAACAATATTGACACTATTTTCAAACATCTTTATATCAAAAATAAAACAAGTGAACTATACTTTTCCAGAAATGTTTAAAATAGAGCATAGTTAAAGTGCATATTTTAATACTGTATTTTAACTATATTCTATTCATAAGTAAAACAAGTAAAACACATTGCTTGATATAATTTTTTACAAAACAAAAAACTGAAATACCTCAACTTCTTGAATGACAATTTTGTGACATCCAAAGAGGGAAGTGAAAAAAAATAATAATTAGAAATAATAATGGCTAAGAGGGCTTTTTGAATTGAGTGGGGAGGTTCGAATAGGTCAATAGGTCTCTGAATAATTAGACAGGTAGATAGGGTTAAATCACAACAACAAATTTAATATAAAACATAAAGGATTAAATATATGTGGGACTTTACTCGTTACAAACTACTTACAACTAAACAACTACGTATCTAAGAAACTTAGAGAGAGAGTTTATAATTTTAATTAGATATTTTTCTGGTTTTTTAAAGGAATGTTTGTAAACTTGACGACCAAGTAGCCTAAAAAAGAAGGTCAGGTCGTCAAAAAGTTTTTGTTCTGGAACACATGAAATGAATAAATGGTGTCTACCAAAAAAGGTTTTATATTTTTATTTTTTGGTCAGTCTGTGTCTTCAATTAACTTTTACAAAATTAATATCATCCGACGAAAGTTCAAAATTAAGAATTATTTTTTTTCAACTTAGAAAACGGAGATGAAAAGGTCAAATGGGGAAAGGATGTATACATGGACAAAGCCCACACACATCCTATTTCGTCCAATTTTGAAACCGATAAGGCTAATCAAATGATAATACAAAGTAACAATTATTACTAAGTTTGCAAGACAAACTCTGATCTTAGTCACCCCTGGCAATTAATTCAGCTTGTTTGATAGCTGTTATCAAATTTATGAGGTAGAATGAGTAACAATACTGGAAAGAAAGAGGTAATAAATTTGACGAGAAGTTCCATTTCTGACAATTAACATAAACAACACCCAGACGCAAATCAAACTTAGAAGGGATTGCATCAGAACTTCCCACAATAGTTTTCCTCTGGGACATGTATAAAAAGGAGTTGCACCCGTATCTCGGGACGATCATCAAAAAGGGAAGTCTAAGGGGCGCCTTAGGAAGCCTCCAGGTTGGACTCTTTTGAACTCCTCTCGGGACATGATTGTCGCCAATTCTCCAACGGTCCTCCAACCTCCAATACTCAGCTAGATCAGCGGATGTCTTCAGGACAATGCATAAGCCAGGATCCATGAACAGCGAGTAATCATCATGAGGTATTATCTTAGACCGCATTTGTAAGCTCTCTCTCTCTAAGTTTCTTAGATACGTAGTTGTTTAGTTGTAAGTAGTTTGTAACGAGTAAAGTCCCACATATATTTAATCCTTTATGTTTTATATTAAATTTGTTGTTGTGATTTAACCCTATCTACCTGTCTAATTATTCAGAGACCTATTGACCTATTCGAACCTCCCCACTCAATTCAAAAAGCCCTCTTAGCCATCCCCTGTTGAGAAGCTGGTAAGAAGGGTGGAGCTCACAGGTCTACACCCCCTCAGTTCACTCACAATTTCATTCAGCATTACTGATGGGAATGAATTGTTTATTATGTTGCAGATCATATTCAGGATGTCTTACATTCATAATCATTTCAGTTAATTTACTGATATTATATATTTGTGGTCAGTTCCTACTTGGATAATTGATGGCATTCATGTCTCATGTTAATTTAAATAATAGTAATAAAAAATAAGAAAATTCTTTTGTCTTTTGAACACTACATAGTGTAAACACACAAACACTTGGCAATCTTCAACTTAAGTTTATTCAGTGTTTAGTAAGAAAATTCTTAATCACAATGTTATGTAAAAATATCCGATTTGCTAAATTAGTTTAAAATGTATTTTACAGAAAATGCAACAGTAGTAGATTACCTCTGCATTAGTTGTTATCAATCTCCTTCTCCTGTCATTAACAACTAGACTATATATTGAAATCATCTTTGTCATTAAATTCAAGTATGAAAACCATATGCTTCTCAGTATACTCTTTTCATTTATTTTTACTTTGTGTTATAGAGTAAAAATAGAAATAAACTTTATTTTATTTTATACTTTAATTCCAGGTCATTATATTCCCAAATATGATTAAAAAGAAAATTGGGAACTTTATCTTTCATGACTGTATAATTTTAATTTTTTACAATTTTGATCAGTCAAATCCGTAAAAAATTAAAAACTATACAAATGTATAATCATCCTGTATTAGTAATATTTGTTGTATGTACTGTACATATTGTCAATAACTAATGTGCTAAACATGGAACTGAATACAATTCTGGATACATTCAAAAAACTGGATACAATTCCATATGTTAATAGAAAACACACCTTGTAAATCCAGCAAACTATTTTTATAATAACTTAAAAATGTTGAAAAACAACAGACACCAAATACTAATAATAAAAGATAAGTCACACAACTATATACCAGCATTATGGAAAAATATGTTTAATTCATGAAAGTACTTGTGAATTAAACATATTTTTCTGTAATGCTGATAGAGAGTTGTTCAACTTATCTTTGGGTCGAAAACATTTTTAATAATAAAATTCAATGAGTTTTCCTCAGTTATAACATAAAACATACATTTGATTCGGTTAACTTGTTCTGTATTGAGGAAGACCCATTAACTTTAAGTTGAAAACATTGTATGAATCCAACATAACAACTTAATGTATTTTCTTTCAGCATATGTACATACAAAATTTATGTATTTGTTTTGACAAAATATGTACAAAAATTTTCCATAATAAATTGTTCCACTATTTACAAAAAACTAATAACACATTTGATTTTATAATCATTAAGTATATATAATAATTTCTTTTACTAACCTGTCCTACTCTAGGAATATAAGGCGCCTTATTTGGCAATACACAATCCATACCTAAAATTAATACAAAATTAGGTCAATAAGGATTTAAATTTCAATGATGATTAATACATAAAGAAATATTAGATAAAGTTATAAAAAAAAAATTACCTAAATGATAAAATGGAATTACAAATGGAGTTATCTTACATTCAGATATTAATCGTCCAATACCTAGAATAGAAGTGCCCTTGTTAGAAATATTAATTCATAACTAAACAGAGATTAACATAACACTATCATATTTGATAAGTACTGTATTAAAGTATTGTTACTAGCAAAACTTTCTATGTATTTCTCTGTTATTTTTATACTTTTTGTATATTTTGATTTCTCTTAAAATAAAATACTGTATATTCATTATAGTTTGCATTACCCCATTTCAATCTTAAACTTTCGTCTTTTGTCATATTCACTTTTCCTTCAGGAAAGAAATGAATCCAATTTCCAGCATTCAAACGTTCTAAACAAAAGTCCATAGCTTTCTGATAAACTCCATCTCCTCTGCGAATTGGGAAAGTTTTACCAAGAGCAAAGAATTTCGAATGCCATTCCTTCGTAAAACATATATCATGTGCTGCACCTGACCATCTCATAACTTTACTATTGAAAAGATGTTTCCAATCTAATATACCTAGCACAAAATAACTAAAAGTTATTAAAAATTGCAGAATTATTAAGATTTAAAATAAGATGTTATATTATATAAAAATAATATATCCTGTTATTAATCCACAACTCAAAAAAAGCTACATGTCTTTGAAAAGGGAAAATATAGTTACTTTTATTTATTAAATCCTTTTTATATTTAATAAATTCTGTAATCTATTATGAAAGTATAAATTTATTAAATTGTCCCTAATAAATTTCTTGACTGTTATAAAATATTAATAAATTGGAAAAAGTTTAATTGGAAATTAACTTTTTTGTTACACATTTAAAACTTTTAAAATAAAAATTGAAAATTGATAAATTGTTCCATTTAAATTAAAATTATTTATAATATTTTGTACTTTGTTTTCATGTTTAAACATTTATTAACACTTTCCTTCATATTGAGAATGTAAAAGTTAATTGGGAGGAGTAATATCATAATATAAAAAAAATATACTTTTGCAAACTTACCCCACAACATTGGATCATCTAGACAAGAGTGATGATTACTGACTGTAATAAGTGGAACATTTTCAGGTCGATTTTCGATTGCATCAATGAGAACATGTCTGTTGTACACAACAACATTATTCAACCAACCTATTAAAAAGTTTTATAAAGTGCAGTAATTATTTTATTTCTCTATTCTAAAGATTTATAATGATTTAATTATATTTAATAATATAATTTATCACAAATTAAGAACATTAACTGAAAGTCCAGAAATTGAGTATTTGAACTGATCACATATTTAAAGAATATTGAATAGAGTATCAGTTAATGGCCAATTACTTATTCTTGCAGAATATTATAATCTATCGTATAAATATCTGGTAAACAAAAGGAACACTCCTGTCAATTATGTCATCTTTTTGGAGCCTTTATAAACACTTTTTTGCAGTTGGCAATCAATTTATTGGCACCGGGAAACTTTACAAATTCTGCTAAATGCATGTGCTAAGCAAATTAAATGGATCATCTTGGTATATCTCAAAGCAGCTGATATGCTTTTAGCATATCAGATGCTTTGAGCTTATATCTTGCAGCATAAGACACAAAAAGGAGGACACTATCAAAATGTATTCTGTTTGGCCACAAAATCTGTAATACATCATTTATGCTTTTCATAATGGTTAATTAATTGGTTGCTTCTATGAACATAGTATGGAGCAAATATGTATTTTTAGTTGCTGTTTCTTAACTTTCAAATACACTATCAATATGCCAACTATTACTTTAACAATGTTCCTAATGAGTGCATTTGTGGTTTCATTAACAGATAACCACAAATTTTTTCCTTCAGTGTTTGTTCTGACTGTATTGGTGGTTTTGTCATACAATTCACTAATATAGTTCTTTAGAAGAGCTGATTCATCTAAGTACTTTTTAATTTGTATATTTCTCAAGGAAATTCTTAAACACATCATTGGTGAGCTTGCAAAATGGAATGTCAGCAGCAATTATCACTTTACATAAGTCATAATAAAACTGCAATTTACACTGATAGTGCTTTTTAAATCAGGTCATCTGCTTAAATGTTAAACAGATAGTGTTTTGTACATCAGATCATCAAGGTAGATTGCAGTTTTGTTACTGTTTGTCTTCTGTTGGGCCATACTATGGAAGCTTTATTCAATCCTGTGTTTCACTTATAGCTTATTAGTCAATTTTAGTTATTTTTCTTTCTTTCTTTCAGTAATGGTGGTTTGTGTGGAGTCTTATGGCTGTACACCTTTACTCTGAGAGACTTGTGGATGATCGCTATGCGAAGAGCCAGCCTTATAGAATGGACTAATCGCACACAGGGAAAGAATGCCTTCCGGGAGGACTTTTACGGGAAACTGTCCCCTATTCAGGCATCATCGACATGGAAAAAACCTGGAAAACTCCACGCTGCCAGCCATCTGAGCAAGGCGTGAACCCACGACTGAACTCCCAGTGTTCAGGGTCTATCTAGTTCACTCAAGTGCGGGGACAAAGACCGTTCGGCCACTGGTGGGCCTTAGTTATTTATTTGGTTATATGTTTCATTTATGCTTTTACATTTGAAATTTGCATTTCTACGCATTTATAACTCTCAAATTTTGATTCACAAGACTTGTTGATTCCTGTTTATTTTAAGGAATATCAACCATAACTCTAATTAAATAAGTGATGTTTTTAAGTTAGCAAATGCCAAAATATATAACGGTATCTATGATTTCAATAAGCATCTCATTGATATCATATGATTTCAACAGTATATCATATAGGTCAAGTAGAAAGATAAACTATATCAAAGCTTTGAGTTACATTTATTTGTATTCGTTTATATTTTCGATTTATTTTGAAACATAATTATTCCAAGAAATATTATTTTATGCAAATATTCTGTATACCAGAGGGCACCACGACATTGGTGATATTCTCGCCAACGTCATCAACGAGAACGAGAGAGTTCGGATGAAAACAAACCTGTCATAATTTTGCTGATGATTCCAACAGCCGGTATCACAATTCTGCTACCTATATTGAATAATTTCGGCGGTTTATTCATGTTAGGAAAAGGCCAGACTATGTCTCTTGGATGCATCTTGTTTAAATCACAACAATAAGCGCTCCAGAATGTTTATCTACTTTGTTTACATCTGGTAAAGACAATACTACAGAAATAGATCTGTTAAGGCGCTGCTAAGACGTCTTTCCTTTTTCTTAAACTTTCCAAATAAATAATCCGTAAATATTAAAATTTAAGAAAATTTATCGACGTAGATTCCGTTCCGAAGTGATAAAATGCGTAAATTAAATATTAAATGAAAACGTGTTACTGCTAAATTTTCGACGAAAGAGGGCGCTACTGGATTAAAAAAGCATTCGCGAATGCATTATAAAAATCTTTTTAAGATTTCGATTTATTTCACTGAATATTATTTCGCTCTTCGGAAAGATTCGTCGGTCGGGGTTGCACGTTTCGCGTATTAATGCAGGATCAAACTGGATAAAGTTAATATTTAAAAAAAACCGAAAAAAATCTTTATAATACGGCGGAACGAAAATGAAGTTCGAGAATACAGGGAAACCGACACACAGGATAAACAGATTGAACTGGGGAGAAGCCGCCATTTTTTCTCCTTGAATTTCTGACTTTTTAATGGATCTCTCACCTAAATTTTTAATTTGATTGGTTATTCAATTTAACACTTCCGTTCGACTTTGTCCGCGAGTGTCGATCCGACTTTGAAACTTTCACTCGTATCTCACGCCATGATATTTTCTTTTCTGACGGCGAAGAAATTTTCTTTATGTCTTCATTACTTACAATGCAACAAGTTTGCTTTCGAAGGAATACTACATTTATTTTCAAATTTTGTCATGTCTACGAGAGTCAGAGTCAATTCTGGATTTTTCCCGTCGGCGCGGCTTTGCAATCCGTTAGTTCGCGTCGATCCATTGACCTCGGGGGCAATTGGAAAAAATTGTAGACCTCTAAATTATCACTGTCCTGTGTCCTATTTATTTTACCAATTCTTGGATGTATTCAAAACATAACTTTGTAATTTTGTAAACAATTATAATCAGGCTGTGCTTATTGCGGTACATGAATATGTAATTTTAATATTACGTTAATAAACCAGATGGATGATGATGATGTCCTGTGTCCGTCTGTCTTAATCTCGAGAACGGAGTTAGACGAAATCCGAGACCAGATGCGAAAACCTTAGGGACGAGAGGCCCCAATTAACTATATATGAACTTCCGATGCAAACCGGAAGTCACGTGTTTTCAATTAAAAACTCCCCGAAAGCAGTTAATAGATGACCGGCACGACTCTATTTTTAAAGAAAAAGTATGATGTACAGGGACAAGCCANCAAACCGGAAGTCACGTGTTTTCAATTAAAAACTCCCCGAAAGCAGTTAATAGATGACCGGCACGACTCTATTTTTAAAGAAAAAGTATGATGTACAGGGACAAGCCACTACTAATTTGAGGTGGAGAGCGTATATTTTAAATTAAATGATTTAAAAATATGATTAAAAATTGCAGCCCAGCATTGTGACCACGTCACAATAAATAATTGCTCGTACTTATAGCTTGTTTGTGAAAACTTTGGTTTCGCCTTGTGAAAATATTTACAAAGTAAAAGCAGATTTTGACCTTTGTCGTGTTATGAACCACAATATTGAAGTTAAAATCCTTTTAAACCTCAATAGGGAGTTAATAATTGTGAGAAATATAAGATTTGCCCATCAAAAATAGGCAAAGAAAACATTCGAAAACAAGAAAACATCATGGGTCTAATACCATAAGTAAGTGCAAGAGACTGATATGTAGAAACTACAAAATTAGGTTGTATATAAATTGTGCCCTATATCCATCATTGTGGATAACAAAAGTATATCAAGGCGAACTTTGTTCGTTATGTTGTAAACAACTTTAAACACTGAAGCCGTGAGTCCGAAGAGAGATTGGAAAATTACTAATCCGAAATGCATTGTTAATATGCGAAATAAAGACAACTGTTTTAATCTCAGTTTTAAAACAGTTGTCTTTATTGTGCATAATTAAGATGTGATAAATACTACTAGTTTCACAATTGGAAGAAGAAATCTTCACTTATAACTTTTTATTCGCTTTCCAGTCTGACGAAACAGAGTTGTCTCCTCGAACAGAGCCGGCCCTACCATAGGGCTAACGGAGCAGCCGCTCCAGGCGCCAAGTCTTGGGGGCGCCTCAGTGGTAAAGAAAATTAAAGGGTATAAATTAGGGGCAACCAAGGGGGGCGCCGTAAAAGGATCTCGCTCCATCCTAAAACTTGCCTCGGGCCGGCACTGTCCTCGAAGGTAACTACTGTCCTTCTTACGAAGGTTTTGGAGATTTCTAACCTTTCAAATTGATTCGATCGAGGCACTATTTTTTCTCGATGGCGTCTTTTTTATTTCTAAGCAGTGAGGAAATTGTAGGGTTTTTCTAAACCCTACAATTTTCTCACTCCTTAACCCGATGTAGTAAGCACAGCATTCTATCTCCTTATAGATGGAATTGTGGGCCTTGCAGTATGTGACTACCACACCGTGTGATAGAACTGCCTGGGCTGAAACATTCGGAAAGGATAAATATCCATAAATTGTTCGGGATAAGAACTGCAAGAATATAGATAGTCCATTTATATGTTACTGTAGATCTATAATCATACAATTTAGCAAAATCGCTGTGGAGGAAGTTGCCGTGAACTTGGATTTTGTTAGATTGATCGGTGAGATAAACCTTTACATAAGATAACTGTTGTAGTTATATAAATTAAATAAGGAAAGGTGGGGCAAGATGAGTACGTTAAGGTTTGAAAAGTCATAAGATGGCAACCACTTAATTAATGAGAACAATAATTTTTTTTTATTCTCAGCAACAACAACATTTGGTAATACAGTATATAATACAAAATTNATGATGTACAGGGACAAGCCACTACTAATTTGAGGTGGAGAGCGTATATTTTAAATTAAATGATTTAAAAATATGATTAAAAATTGCAGCCCAGCATTGTGACCACGTCACAATAAATAATTGCTCGTACTTATAGCTTGTTTGTGAAAACTTTGGTTTCGCCTTGTGAAAATATTTACAAAGTAAAAGCAGATTTTGACCTTTGTCGTGTTATGAACCACAATATTGAAGTTAAAATCCTTTTAAACCTCAATAGGGAGTTAATAATTGTGAGAAATATAAGATTTGCCCATCAAAAATAGGCAAAGAAAACATTCGAAAACAAGAAAACATCATGGGTCTAATACCATAAGTAAGTGCAAGAGACTGATATGTAGAAACTACAAAATTAGGTTGTATATAAATTGTGCCCTATATCCATCATTGTGGATAACAAAAGTATATCAAGGCGAACTTTGTTCGTTATGTTGTAAACAACTTTAAACACTGAAGCCGTGAGTCCGAAGAGAGATTGGAAAATTACTAATCCGAAATGCATTGTTAATATGCGAAATAAAGACAACTGTTTTAATCTCAGTTTTAAAACAGTTGTCTTTATTGTGCATAATTAAGATGTGATAAATACTACTAGTTTCACAATTGGAAGAAGAAATCTTCACTTATAACTTTTTATTCGCTTTCCAGTCTGACGAAACAGAGTTGTCTCCTCGAACAGAGCCGGCCCTACCATAGGGCTAACGGAGCAGCCGCTCCAGGCGCCAAGTCTTGGGGGCGCCTCAGTGGTAAAGAAAATTAAAGGGTATAAATTAGGGGCAACCAAGGGGGGCGCCGTAAAAGGATCTCGCTCCATCCTAAAACTTGCCTCGGGCCGGCACTGTCCTCGAAGGTAACTACTGTCCTTCTTACGAAGGTTTTGGAGATTTCTAACCTTTCAAATTGATTCGATCGAGGCACTATTTTTTCTCGATGGCGTCTTTTTTATTTCTAAGCAGTGAGGAAATTGTAGGGTTTTTCTAAACCCTACAATTTTCTCACTCCTTAACCCGATGTAGTAAGCACAGCATTCTATCTCCTTATAGATGGAATTGTGGGCCTTGCAGTATGTGACTACCACACCGTGTGATAGAACTGCCTGGGCTGAAACATTCGGAAAGGATAAATATCCATAAATTGTTCGGGATAAGAACTGCAAGAATATAGATAGTCCATTTATATGTTACTGTAGATCTATAATCATACAATTTAGCAAAATCGCTGTGGAGGAAGTTGCCGTGAACTTGGATTTTGTTAGATTGATCGGTGAGATAAACCTTTACATAAGATAACTGTTGTAGTTATATAAATTAAATAAGGAAAGGTGGGGCAAGATGAGTACGTTAAGGTTTGAAAAGTCATAAGATGGCAACCACTTAATTAATGAGAACAATAATTTTTTTTTATTCTCAGCAACAACAACATTTGGTAATACAGTATATAATACAAAATTTAATTTTCGAAAAACATTTTTAAAAACAAGAAAATTTAATATTTTAAAATTATATGTAAATGCACCATCTTGCCCCACCCATGGGGTAAGATGGGGATATTATTTTTATATACAAGAAGGACAAATTAAAATGGTTAAACTGTCATTTTCTTCAATATTGTCACAATAATAGTGTGCCCATTTATCACAACGGCTACATTTAGCCCAACTCTCTGCAGATACAGAGTATAACCCTTTACAATAGAGGCATTCTGTGTCATTTGTCTTTTGTTTCTTGTTAGGCCTACCGTTGCTGAAGGGGTCTGTTTGTCGTCTCTGCAGCAATAAAGTCTGCCTCCGAAAATACTTCTGGATTCATAGGCCATACGAGGTATCCCAATGTATACTTTCCATACTGACTGAAAACTCGCGTAAACATTTCAAAACTAAACAATTACAGTCTTAAAGGTTACTTCTAATACCATAATATCTTCATCTAAAAGGTAATGTAAAAGTTCATAGCAGACTCTTGTAGTTCATAGAAAAGTTCATAGACTCTGTAGAAACTTTTTAGCAGGCATAAAATTAGATTAAGTATTGTTGAAACATGAAAAACGTATCTTACTTCCAAACAAAGAGAGCGATTTGGACGTTCTCTCGCTCCATGATCCCTTTCGAGGTAGACATTTAGNAAAATTAGATTAAGTATTGTTGAAACATGAAAAACGTATCTTACTTCCAAACAAAGAGAGCGATTTGGACGTTCTCTCGCTCCATGATCCCTTTCGAGGTAGACATTTAGTTCCCCAAATAACAGCTAGATAAAAGAACATTAACCACAAATAAACAGACTTCCCCATCTTACCCCATGATCCCATCTTGCACCGCCTTCCCCTACTATAATATAATATAATAGAACGATTAGAAGTACTGTA